ATTTGTCTCCTGCCATCCCTCTCCAGCCTCTGACAAACAGAGGCCAAGGACACCATTTTATCCCCTAGCTAATAGCCTTTTATGGACCTAACCTCCATGAAATTATCTAGCTTCTCTTTAAACTCTGTTATAGTCCTAGCTTTCACAGCTTCCTCTGGCAAGGAGTTCCACAGGTTGATTACACGCTTGTGAAGAACTTTCTTTTATTAGTTTTAAACCTGGTACCCATTAATTTCATTTGGTGCCCTCTAGTTCTTCTATTATGGGAACTAATAAATAACTTTTCTTTATCGGCCTCTCCACACCACTCATGATTTTATATACCTCTATCATATCCCCCCTCAGTCTCCTCTCTTCTAAACTGAAAAGTCCCAGTCGCTTTAACCTCTCTTCATATGGGACCTGTTCCAAACCCCTAATAATTTTAGTTGCCCTTTTCTGAACCCTTTCCAAGGCCAAAATATCTTTTTTGAGGTGAGACCACCATATCTGTACACAGTATTCAAGATGTGGGCATACCATAGTTTTATACAGGGGCAGTAAGATATTCTGTGTCTTATTTTAAGCCCTAAAAAAGAAAAATGATTTCAGGAAAATGTCTTACCTTTATTTTAAGTTTGTGTGTCCAACTATGAATGCGTTCAATACTGTATGGCATTTCAATAGACATGACCACACAGAATCCACTAAAAAAAGAAAAAAAAATTGACACTCAAAGCACTTCTGGAGCAGATGATATTTGGCATTTATGCCATGTTTCCTCCATCAGGAACATACCAGTCTGTTTCCTAACCTTTTTAGCCCTTAGGGTAAAGGTAATAAGCAGAGTATTACCTAGACTTGAAGGTCAGAAGGGACCATCATGATCATCGATCTAAACCTGTGACATAGCTAGAGCAGGAACAGTGGGCATGCCTAGCTTTCAGGTGGGCAGGCAATAATGGGGGGTTGAGGGTTGGAGGGTTGGGGAGCCTGGGAGAGGGGGACAGGAAGCAGTGGGGCTAAGGAAGGAATTGCCCTAGAAAGCTGGCTTTTTAGCTCAAACAATAGAGGTGCCTACACTAAGCTCCAGAGATCCCAGGTTCACATCTGCCCACTGGCAGTTACACTATGTAAGCCCATTACTTCCTGTTCTGCCCTCAGTAGTTAAAGGAAATAATTTACCACCTTACTCTTTTTTAAGAACCTGTTACATACTATAAGACAGTTATTATAGTCCTCCCCCTCAGTTGTCTCTTCCCAAACTAAGCAACCCCATTTTTTTCAATCTTTCCTCAAAGATTATGTTTCCTAGAACTTTAATAATTTTTGTTGACATAATACTACAGTTGCGAGGCCTTATCAGTGCTTGAGAAGACTGAAAGAATTACTTTCTGTGACTTGCTTACCACACTCCTGCTCATACATCCCAGAATGATATTCACTTATTTTCAAGAGTTTGTGACCCACTGTGACTCCCAGATCTCTTTCTGCAGTACTTCTTCCTGGGGTATGTCTGCACTTGCACCCTCTTTCAAGAGAGGGATGCAAATGAAGACATTTGAAATTTCAAATGAAGCCGAGATTTAAATATCCCATGCTTCATTTGCATAATCATGTTATGGCGCTATTTCGAAATAAAAAACGCTGTTTAGACGTGGTTATTTTGGGAGAAAACCCTTCTTCCAAAATAACTGGTAAACCTCATTTTATGTCTAAACAGTGTTTTTTATTTCGAAATAGCGCCATAACATGATTATGCAAATGAAGCATGGGATATTTAAATCTCGGCTTCATTTGAAATTTCAAATGTCTTCATTTGCATCCCTCTCTTGAAAAAGGGTGCAAGTGTAGACATACCCCAGGAAGAAGTACTGCAGAAAGAGATCTGGGAGTCACAGTGGGTCACAAACTCTTGAAAATAAGTGAATATCATTCTGGGATGTATTAGCAGGAGTGTGGTAAGCAAGGCACAGAAAGTAATTCTTTCAGTCTTCTCAAGCACTGATAAGGCCTCGCAACTGTAGTATTATGTCAACAAAAATTATTAAAGTTCTAGGAAACATAATCTTTGAGGAAAGATTGAAAAAAATGGGGTTGCTTAGTTTGGGAAGAGACAACTGAGGGGGAGGACTATAATAACTGTCTTATAGTATGTAACAGGTTCTTAAAAAAGAGTAAGGTGGTAAATTATTTCCTTTAACTACTGAGGGCAGAACAGGAAGTAATGGGCTTACATAGTGTAACTGCCAGTGGGCAGATGTGAACCTGGGATCTCTGGAGCTTAGTGTAGGCACCTCTATTGTTTGAGCTAAAAAGCCAGCTGGCGCTCAGCTTAGGCTATAGAACTCCCTTGTTCTTCTCTCTCACTGTAAGTGGTGTAAGTGGGTTACAATAGCAACAAAGGAAATTTAGGTTAGCCAAGTGTTTTTCAAATTTGGGTTGTGGGGCTCCCAGGGTAAGCCACTGGCGGGCCTGCGCCACTTTGTTTACTTCATGTGTCCATAGCCACGGAGCCTCACTCCTTCCCTTGACTGGAAACAGTGAACTGCAGTCAATGGGAGCTGCAACGCTCCATTGCTATGGACACATTAAGTACACAAAGTGGCATGGGCCTGCCAGCAGCTTACCCTGGCAGCCCTGTGATCCAAGTTTGAAAAATGCTGGAACAAGTTTGAAACCCTGGAACAAATTACAAGAGAGTTGTGGAATCTTTGTCACTGGAGGTTTAAAAAACAAAAACACAATAGGCAAACACCCGGTGCGGTGGTCTAGATAATACTTAGTCCTGCCTCAGTGCAGAAGACTGGAATAGATGACCTATCAAGGTACCTTCCAATCGTATGACTCTATGATTAGCTCTTTTTGCCAAAGCACTGTGCGCACATATTCACATGGGTAGGGCCTTATATAGTTTCCAGCACTGAACATTCAGCTTCTTGGGTAATACAAGCACCCCCTAAAGATCTTACTGCTTCTACTGGTACAATAGCTCATGAATAGGGGAGAGTAGCTATAGGTAGAGGCATTACATGAAGAACTATATTTATGAATGTCTCAAGAAGAATTATGTTATCAGAAAAAAATTCACAATCTGAAATATAATTTTAATACATTATTAAAAATGTTAATGAAAATTAAAAAACCCTAAAAATAAGCTTAATTTTAAAAAGTACCCTTTTAGGTAGTGCAGACCCAAAGGATTAGGTTTTGTGATGCAAAGTTTTTATAAAACCTGGTATTAATACAAATGTTATCAGGAAACAAACAATCACAAATATTAAACGAAACGGGGTGGAGGTAGAGTTTACCTAAACATTATTTCCCTGTAGTGCCTGCAACCCAAATAGAGCAGCAATTTTGAATTGAAGGCAAAATGCCTTTTCAACATCCAACCTGGACAAAGTTGCATAAACCTCACATAAATGGTGAAAAATAATTTTTTAAAGCTGCTTCGCCTTTTGTTAGTTTTGGTAACAAAAATAAGGAAAAAACTGAATCATAGTCTCTTAAATGTTACTTACCCCTTTTTTGTTCCTATTCGTTTAACACCGACCTTCTTTACTGTATCCTATACAAAATAAAAAAGCTTTAAATGTATCATTGTTACGAAATACAGAGATGTGAGTGCCATTCTTGGTTTTATAAGAAAAGCAGCAACTAGAGCATAGCACACAGCAGGAGTTCTCAGAATCTTTCATTTTCAGTGATCAGCTTTTTCCTCTGAGGCTACATCTAGATTGCATCCCTTTTTCATAAAAGGGATGCAAATTAGACGTATCGCAATTGCTAATCAAGCAGGGATTTAAATCTCCCCCGCTTCATTAGCATAAAAATGGCTGCCGCTTTTTTTTGGCACGGAGCTTTGCCGGAAAAAAGCGCCAGTCTGGACGTGGATCTTTCGGAAAATAAAGCCTTTTCCAAAAGATTCCTTATCCCTTATTTTAAGAGGGATGAGGGATCTTTTGGAAAAGGCTTTATTTTCCGAAAGATCCGCGTCCAGACTGGCGCTTTTTTCCGGCAAAGCTCCGTGCCAAAAAAAAGCGGCAGCCATTTTTATGCTAATGAAGCGGGGGAAAAGCTCCGTGCCGAAAAAAAGCGGCAGCCATTTTTATGCTAATGAAGCGGGGGAGATTTAAATCCCCGCTTCATTAGCAATTGCGATACATCTAATTTGCATCCCTTTTACGAAAAAGGGATGCAATCTAGACGTAGCCTGAGAGTTTATGGGAATTATATATACATATGAGAAGAAGAATAAGCTTGATGATCTTTAAAAGAGGGGAAATATACTAAGTCATTTGTCCCTTTTTGCAAACTGTTCTCTGGGGTCAACATGGAACATCACTGAACTCAATAGAGTACAGAGGGCCACATATATAAAATAGCCAGCCTATAAGACTGAGACCTTAATTACTAACACTGCTGCATTTATTCATGTTCTGAACCAATGGTTCTCAACCTTTTCCATACTGGGACCCTTTCCCCATGCAAAGCCTTCATCCCATGTGGCCAGGTCCACTTTCCATCTAACAATATGGGTAGGCTTGTCATAATACCCAGGTTGCACATCCTGTCAACTTTGGTTATGAGCTTTGGTTATGAGCAGATTCAGGCAGGCATCACTACACTGATTTGGTATTGGTTTGGTTCAGATTTTTGTAGGATCCTGCTGTAACCATAAAGGTTGGACTCAATTCTTTTAAATGAGCAGCCAGGTAAGATTTACATAAGAAGGTAAGAAAGGGAGATTGCAGCTCCCCTCAAACCTCTTGTAGAATCACTCCCCTTTAGGAGCACTTCTGCTCCAAACTGAGAAAATGCTACTGTAAATTGATATTTTAAATACACAAACCTGTGTGTTTTCATTCAATGCTTTGTCTTGTTGCCAAGGTGCCACAGCAGTAGGCATTTGAAAGGTAATACAGCCATTCTGAAAGCTAAGTTCAGTGATGTAGGTGATTTTGATAAGAACCGTACTTTTAGGTGGTAAGTTTCCAACACTCACAGTAAAAACATCCTAGAAAAGAGATGCTCGCTTTAATCTGCATATTACAATTATATATTTTCCAAAGCAATAAATATTTCATTTGTTTGGTCATGTACAGAAAACCCCCCACTAGTTTTCTATGTTTCTTCAGAGAAGCAGTTGAAGAAAGCTAATTAGGACGATAAAGGCCAAGAAGTTATGCTGCTTTAACAAAAAATATTGTCAGGACAACACTCATCAATAGTAACTATTTATAAATTGATATTTTACAGAGACTTCAAACATCTTATTAAAAAGAGGATTTTACTGAGAGTTGGCAAAATCTAGTTTCTGTAGGAGGTACAGCAGATACTTTTATCTCATTTCCTGAAATGACCAAAAGTGCAGACTAAAAGTCATTTCCATCTATTGAATTCTATTATTTAAAAGCAAACAATCAAAACACACACAAAAATCCCTTCCATTAAAGATGCAATTCTGCAAAGATTCCAATAGGACTACTTATGTGCCTAAGGGAAAGTACATATGTATTTGTGGAGTTGGGATCTGTGTCACAAACTTGCTTTGTTTGGGCTCTGACTTCGTTAACCAATTTACAATGTGATCAATTTGGGGTTTCTAAAATGCTTAATAAACTACAACATTCCACATACAGGGGCATCTTGGTCCATCAAATAAGCTCCATCACCTCGACTGACTGCTTCTCTGTATTCTTTATGTGCTTGTTCCTTTTCTTTAACCTGCAAAAGATTGCTCCAAAATCAGTCTATTCATAGTTGATTAACTTGTTTCAGTTAACCAATTTATAAAGGGACACAATCAATTTGAAATCTAGTTAAGTGACAATGGTATAAAATCAGAGTGAGAGTATTAATACTTATGAGTGTCTTTACTCATTAATATTTTGACATCTTCGGGTTGAAGGCACTATAGAAGAATGAAATATTAAATCATCTTACCTCTCCAACAATATGTTTCCCATTGATGAAAGCCTCAAATCCACATACAGCCGCTGTGTCATCCAAAGGGAAGACATATTTTGCCTCAATGGGATTATCATTCTGATTGATGTAAGTCTGAAACACTACTATCTGAAACAGGATTATAAAAGAGATGCATTTCTCTATTAGATAAAAAAAATCACGATAAAAAAGACCTAACCATCCACTATCTTTGTTTAATATTCAATTCTCATACCTCTGGATTAAAGAAAGATACTGGATGGTTAGGTCATTTCCTACCTATCAAACAATGAGAGTGACAATGGTTCCTTGTCTTTGAAGAATCTCAAGATACCATCTATGTTTCATCAGTTTTTAAGTGTTTCTGACTCTTTATTGTTTGCTAATTAATGGTTCTTATCTGCCCCCTTTGACTATCTAGTCTTTAGGTGCTTATAGACTCGCTTTCCCTTGATATATATTTTACCCACTGCCTTTCCTTATCCCCCCCATCCCCAATTTTCCCTTCTTCCACCCCCTCCCGCCTCCCCTATTTATTTTGGTCCTAGACATCCAACACTCCAGTCATCTGAAGAAGTGGGCTGTGCCCACGAAAGCTCATGATACCACATGTTTTGTTAGTCTATAAAGTGCTACCGGACTATTTGTTGTTTTTTCAGTTTACCTGTACAGACTAACTCAGCTACCCCTGAAGCTATTTTCAATTTAACAGAATAAATGTTCTATTATGTTTCACACTAAAAAAGTGTTGCTAGGAGACAGCACAACTTGATTTATCTTTCTGAAGACCTATTTGTACACAAATACACACATATATAGTGATTGTAGCAAATTTTCTGGTGGGTAGAGGAATAAACGGTTCAAGAAACTGGTCATAGAATATAAAGTCTTTCATCTCTAACTCACCAATTCAATCTTCAAGTCAAGAGTAAACAAAAATCATTGCCATTTGATGGCTATTTGTAAATCCTAACTTCACAAATATCACCAATCTAGAATCTACAGTAAGGATGGGCAGTAAAATGGCGGCAGATTGCTGTTATATTTACCTACACCTCTGCAGGTATGGGTGATTGTAGCTCCGATAGGACGGGAATGGCTATCTGCAGCCAATGGGAGCTATGCTTCCCCGTACCTGCGGAGGCCCAGGTAAATATGGTGGTGTGAGGGCTCACCAAGGGCTAACTATGGCAGACCGGATCCAGCTCGTGGGCTGATATTTGCCTACCCCAGTCTACAGGATAGGGGTCCGTACCACAAAAACCACCAATGAAAAACTATTGGCAACTTCAAATGTGACTAAAGTACTGAGTAGGCAGGGAGACAGATGGTCCAACCCGGCTAAAGCTTTACTGACATTGATTCTTTACCTGTGCTGTCTCTTCAGGAACAGTATCTGTTCTGTAAATAGAGGATTTCAGACTTCAGTGCCAGCGATTCCAACTGACTTTCTGTCCACACCTGTTTCTCTTTACACTCCCTGCCTATGTCTCCATAAGTCCTAAGACTTTCTCACCAACCACTTAGTGGCACATCCAATATCCTGAGGTAGCACCTGGATAGTGAAATCTCTGTGAATATGGGGCCTTTTTCCAGTGCTTTGTCTGTTTAAACATCTGGGCAGAGTTCCTCTAGACAGCGTTCACTGACTCCTTAGATTCCTTGGAGCAGTGGATATGATCTATGAGTGGATATGGTCTATGGTTCTCTGCTGGGTGTAGTCTCCTGGATCCATTGTTTTGATCATGGATGTCGTGAAATGAGGAGTAACGGTAGTTCGAACTAGGAAGCCTAGTTCGAACTACCTAGTTCGTGCCCCGTGTAGCCGCGCTGCACGGGGTTCGAACCAGCGGGGTTTTAAAAATGGCGGCTCCCTGCTTATGCAAATGAAGCCCGGGAAATTCAAATCCCGGGCTTCATTTGCATGTGCGGTATGCCTACATTACCCTCCTAGTTCGAACTAGGAGGGTAGTGTAGACATACCCTCAGAGACTAATCAAAATATATAGAATCATGAGTTTTCATGGGTAAAACCCACTTCATCAGATGAATTGGAGTGGAACTATCAGAAACCAAGACATATATATTGAGTTGTCTGTTTTTCTAAAAGCGACTCAAATGGTACATAAAAATTGGAATTACTTCTCCGTAGTCAGTTGCTGAAAAGCTTAGCTTACAATAAGCAGTGCACTGTACCTGTGCTATGAAGTCCATTATTCTTCCCTTGATATGAATATCTTCAAGAGGGACTGGGTTTCCAGATGTGTCCTGAAGACCAGTTTTTATAGGATTCAAAAGATTTAAGCTTGGTAATGCATAGTCTAAATATAAAAAAAAATTAAGAAAGGTTAGTATAGTGATAGAGGTAAAAACATAATCCCACAAACCAATGTCCATTTGGCTCATGTTTACAACGAATTCAGAATATGTGAATTAAAAATAATACCCAGTGTCTGTTAAGAATATACACAATGTTATTGTTCTGTGTGATGGGGTGACGCAACCCCGCATTATGCCAGGCTCCCCCCGGGGGCCGGGAGAGATAAACCAGCTTTCCCCACCGCTGGGGAGTCTGCAGGGGCAGCTGAAGCCCGCTGCGGGGACAGTGGCTTAGCAGGGGAGACTGCGGCAGCAGCTGGAGCGTGCTGCGTAGTCAGCAGCTGGGCTGGCGCTCCAGTTGGTCCGCCGGGGGAGATACCAGCACAAGTGGACGCCGGCGCTGGAGAAGTCACCGGAGGCAGGGCCCGCAGAGGCGGGGGAGGAGCAGACTCAAAAGACACCAGCGCAGGCGTACTGGGGAAGGGCACGGCCGAGCCCCGAAGAGAAAGGGGCGGTGCCCTTGGCATTATAGGGAGGTCAGCGGAGGGCATGGATGAAAAGTGTCCGGCCCCAGGGGAAAAGACGAGTGGGACGCTCGGGTGAGCGGGGATGAGGAAGCAGCCCAGGGTGGGCGTAAGTAAGGTGCCAGCAGGCTGATGAGTTGTGGCACGTAGCCCCATCAGCCAGGTGGGAGGAAAGCGGATATTTTCCCTCACCTTAGAGCCCTGGTCTGGGGCCTAGAGAGAGGGTGGGCCTGGGCCCCCCTTACACCCTGCTCGGGGTAACCACTGAGCCAACGCGGTTCACAAACACACGCCCGATCAGGAGGGGCAGGTCAAGGGGATGGGAGGAGACAGAGGCAGAGAAGGGGGACTTAAGGGCATGACCGAGTCTCTCCATGACATTCTGCAATAAGGGCTCTCTGAAGGATCATGAGTTGATGATAGGTCTTTCATAAGATATTTGTTTAGCTTTTGGGGAATAAAATGTGAATTCTTTAAGAGCGTCTGATGTCTTATGCTAGGCCTTCTGAAAAACATTTTGTCAGAAGGAGAAAATCAGCATAAATATTTATTCCCAGAGAAAATTTGTTAAACAGATGTTTCCAAGATACCATACGTTCTTGACTAATATTGGTAAGAGCTGTAAATCAATTAAAAATATTTTTTAATTATATTAAAATATATTTGATCTATATTATTCAAGAATCACTGATTAATATCTAGAACATTCATGATTTAAATATGGTCACAAATAAGAAACATTGTTCACCTTTGAGTTGTAAATGACAATGCGAGGTCACCGGCCGATCTTTCTCTAATTCTGTCTCAATTCCAGGCTGAAACTGCTTTACTTGGTCTCCAACAAGGCAAAATTTAACAATGTATCTCATTTTAACCTGACAGGTTTTGTATACAACAAATTCATCATCCTATTACAAGCAAAGAGAATTATTTTACAAATATAATAAAAGCTACAGGTATTCCTACAAAGTCTGCAAACTGATTTAAGAACAGATCTTACGTGACATCTCAGCTATGATCCATAATATCACCATATGGTGTTAGTACTACTGCTTTACTGTTTTCAAAGCACTACATCTCTGTTCTTTTCTCTTTGCTCAAATTTCACTATTGACAGCTCCTTCTGACTATGTCTACACTGCACTGTTCTTCTGGAAAAATCTATGCAAATTGCGAACCACAATTTGCATAGCTTTTTCCACTTTTTTTTTCAGAAGAGGCTTTTCTGACATTTGTCCCATTGACACTGGGATAAATGTAGGAAAAAAACCCTCTGTCAAAAAATTTTTTGGAAGAGCAGACGTGTTCCCTCGATGCGGCAGAGATTTTCCGGGATACCGAAAAACTCTGCAATGTAGACATAGCCTTTGTCTTCTTGGCTCACTCACCAGTTTATGCTTTCTTTCATGGCATCCTCTACTTGGGGAAAAGCCACAGGTGTCCAATCTCTCTTAAAAATTATTTAAAACACAATTGTTCCTCAAAAGAATGCCAAGTAAAATTATCAGTTTTCTTTCTATGGCTGCATAGACAACAATTATGCCTATTAGTTTGCACAGTATTGCACTTATTCCTAACTTTATAGTTTAAACAATATGAAGCAGGGGTTATATTTATACTCTTTCATAGTTGTTTTCTATACTCCATATGTGACAGAATGACAATAGCCCAAACAAACCTTATAGAATTAAAATAAGTTTTACTGAATGAAAATTAAATTTTCATAGCAGACCTATTAAAAAGCAAATGCAATTGTGTATGTGATGTTGTGACATTAAATGTACCTTCTCTAACAATGGAGGATGCTAATGAACTTTCTCTGTTCTCAGCCTTTGAAGTCCCCCAGGGACATATGCATACATTGGTCCAAACTGGATTTTCATGAGACTCACCAAGAAAAAACTTTTAGACAAAAAACCTAAGTTTAAATGCATTCAGAGCCTTCTTTCTGATACACCAATCAAGCAGGATCCTGTACCGACCTAGAAGAATAGAGTGCACTGACCTAGAAGAATTTGGCCTGGTGAGACCTCAAAAGGCTGTATGCTTGTTCTGAGGTGAAATTAATGAATTTGTGACCTCCATAAACCTCTTGGGTGGGGTAAGATTCGGTAAACTCATTAGCATGCATGTACTTTTATTGCTTTAAATGTTTTCTCCAAAATATTTTTTCCTTGAGCATAAAGTAGGCATGGCTGGAAAGAACTGTGTGGTAAGTTATACCTATAACACTATTATTAATGATATGATGTAGTCATGGATTCCATGACTTTACCTGACTTCTGTGACTTCGGCTTCAGTTGTCTATGGCAGAGCTGGAGCTGTGCTCCCCAACCTATGGCTTCAGCTGATGCTGGGGCTGTGTGCCCCTCTCACAGCTGTGGCAGGAGCCAAGGCAGTGCACCTACCCTTCTCACAGCTTCAGCTGGGGCCGGAATTGGGAGTGTGTGTGTGTCCCCCAGTTCCCTGAGGCTTTAGGCGGGTCAGAGCTGGGCTGTGCACCGCACATGATTTCATTTGATGCCAAAGCTTGAGCTGTTGCTGTGCGCCCCTTTCCTGTGGTTTTGGTAAGAGATGAGGCCACAACTGCGTGCTCTCCCTCACTACCCTATGGCAACAGGAGGGACTGAAGCTGGAGATGTGATCCCCATGGTGGTGGGGCTGTCACTCCCCATCCATTGGGGTTCAGCTGTTATTCTCCCTCCCTCCTCATGCTCTCTCTCTACCCAGTTATTAAAAGTCACAGACAGGTCACAGCTCCCATTAACTTTTGTTTATTGCCCACAAAAGTCTGTGACTTTTACTAAAAATAACCATGACAAACCTTTAACCATAACTATTATCCATCTACGAAGAGAAGAGAAACAGGTCTGTCTGGGCAGACTATCTGTGCTGTGAGTTACACAGAGAAGGAGGGGAACTGTCTGGCCTGGAAATACCAGAGGTAGAAGATAGTGAGACGTGTCTTCATACAAGAGTAGCAAAAGCTGTGAGCCTGAGGGCCCAGGGTGCTTGCTGAACCATGAGAGGAAATAGAGGTGCAGATGCCCTGAACTGTGACACCAGACACACAAAGTTTCAGTGAGTGAGCATAGCTTCTTGACAAAATAACTTCTGCTCTTAGTGCCAGGAGTCTCAGTGGCCACCAACAGATTGGGGAAGGAAAGCAGCAGGTTGTGGGACTAAGGAATAACAGCATCTTCCATGCCTGCTACAAATGTCATCTGGGGCTGAGACATGAGACCCTGAGTGCAGAGCAGGACATCAGGCAGGGCAAATCAGGAATCTCCTGAGTGCAATGGCCAGCAGTAACAGAGCAGCAAAATAGCAGTTGCGGGTATCGGTGTTTGGGGCTAATCCTCCCTGTGCCCCCATGACTGTATAAATAGCCCAGATGGGCTGGAAGAACTGCATACCATTCTCTACTCTCAGTGCAGAGCACCTGGGAGCCAGGACCCTCCTTGCCCTTTCCTTGCACTATGTGAAAGTGGTTATTATAGGATGCAGGGGAAATAATTTCCTTGGAATGTAGCATTTAGCATCTATTTGATACATAAGAAATATGCAAAGTGGAATGAAATTCACTATAAGTGAAGCAATGCATTACTGAAGGGATTAGTCTAGTAATGCTGCAGCCTTGGTAGAATATGGTTTTCAGCTAGTATAGACAACGCCTAATTATGTTCAACATCCAAAACCTATTGTGCATGTGGTATATGAGACATGAAAGTGCTGAAAGGTAGTGAAGTAGTTCAAGATTTTCACCCCACTTCATTAGAAACAAGTTCAATATAAAAATCTCTCTCTGCTTATTTTTAGGAAAATTCCACTGTAATAGGAAATAACACTAATAGGTTTAATTTAAATAAAGCCCTTCATGCCATAGCTCAAATGGTTTTTTTACACATTTTTAACATCCTGTGATACAGGTATTATATGCACTTTATGCAGATGAGGAAATGGAGATAAAAGTGATTAAATGATTTGACCATTTCCCACATAACCATTCAGTGGTGGAATGGTAAATACTACCTAGGTGCTCAGTCTCCCTCTGTCCTCTTATGTAACATTGGCACAATAAATCCAAGAGTTTTAAAGAATGTCAATGCCCTTTTTTGGGCTGGATCTGATTTCAGTACCTCAAAATCTGAATAGATGTTTTCTGTTTTACGGACTCCATGAACACTGTCATATCCTGATGGCGCACTAGTTAATGTCACATCTTTTTTATACAAGTCCAAACAGGTTCCAAGTGCTACATTACAAACAGCCAATAGTCGCGTTCCATCCATTTCACTTGGTGAAGAATACTTAATACTTGTACTATAGTTAAAGAAAAATCATATATACAGGCACATACAGTTTGGACAGTTTACATTAATATGCATTTCTTATTTTAAGTTTCAACAGAAATGTCAATAAAAATGGAAAGGAATAACTTTCAACATTAAAATTATCTTAAAATTAAATTAAAACATTACAAAAAGAAATGTAAATTTCTTTAAGAGTCAAAAAATCACAATATTATAATTAAGTATTTCAGACCTGATGGAGTCACTGAAATAAATGCCACTCCCTAAGTTCCCAATATCAGTTCTTTCCAAGCCATGATTTTCAACCACTATCTTTGGTAAAAGGAGACCTCTAGAAAAGAAATAGCATTACAATTAATGAAGGTAGAAGGATGTTGACATATAGTCTCATGATTAATACATCCTGAGTAACTCATAAACAAGACAAAATACAATTTACAGAAACCAAGAAAAGGGAGTTCTGGAAAATGTTCAGTAAAACAGAGACATTATTGGATTAGTTACAACAGGGGTAAACCATGGGTGAAGTTCATCAAGGGAATATTACAGTATGTATTCCTTACTTTTCTAATTCTAGCACATAAGAACAGCATGTTACAAAGTGAAAAAAAGAACAATGATCACTGGCAAACATCCACATTAACATGAAACCAGCACATAAGATTTGTCTGGTTTATCTAAAATAGTGCTACTTTTCTATAAACTACTGTGTGTAACCTCATATACATATCACAAACACATACATTACCAAAGCACAACAAGGGTGGGCATAAAAGGTAGAGTATTCAGGAGTAAAAGGGAAATCTGATCCCTAACTTTAGTCTTCTTTTATGGAAAGTAGGTCTTGTCAAACAAACCAAATTTCAGTTTTTGATGAGATTACAAACTTGGTTGATATAGGTAACTGAATAGATGTAATATCATTAGACTTTTGTAAGACATTTGACTTAGTACTGCATGACATTCTTGTGAAAAAAATAGCACTATATAATATCAGCAAAACACGTCTTAAATAGATTAAGAACTGGCTAACTAACAGAACTCAGAGAGCAGTTGTCAATGGAGAATCATCATCAAATGGGAATGTTTCTACTTGAGTTCCTCATGGATTGGCTAGGCTAGGTAGGCCTGATGTTGTTCAATATTTTAATCAGTGATCTGGAAGTAAATATATAATTCCTAATGACATAAAGATTGGCAGAGTAATAAATAGGAATATACAGAGATATCCATACCATAGGAAGGACTAAATCTTGGAACAATAGATATGTGAATAGAACAGAAAATGTTTAGTCAGTCACTATTAGGTTATTTTCAGTTTTGTTGGACTTTTTTGTGATGAGCACATGCAATTCCCACTTTCACTTCACTCTCCAAACTGAATCCCATGGAAGTAATTCTCTGTATTTTAATCTTTTTTCTCCAGTTGCTCTGTAACACCTAGCAACCAAATAATGTTTCAGAAAGTATGTTTTGTTTTGTTAATAAAAATTACTTTTTAAGACCATGATCTGATTCCTGTGTCCTAGGAGGCAAGAGGCTCTGTGTGCGCATGCCTAAGACTGCAAGGTCAGCTATTAAGAGAATTGCGGTTTTTGTTTGTTTGTTTTTTAAAGCACTCTCAAGAGCAAGGGTTAAAGAGCTTAAGAGTAACTCACAGAAAGAAATTCCCAAATGTGTCTTCCTGGGTTCTCAAAGGGATGTTTGCAATCCAAGGCCAGGGAATCTGCGACCATGGGGAGATTTTAAACAGAAACTTTTAGTGGCAGGGTATGTTAAAGTCTCTTGCAAGCCCCTGTCTTCTGCACTCAAAGAGCCAGAATGGGGAACAACCTTGACACAGTATCATAGATGTGCATGGCCCTCTACATGGAAATAGAGTTAACAGATTCTTGTTATCAAGAGCTGCAATCACAAAGGATAATTACATGAACACTCACTAATTAACTCAGTACTTACTACTGTGAGCAGACCCATAGAATTTGTTAGTACTGCTACTACTTTTGGCTGCAAATGTTTGATGGATCTAATCCTTAATTACATCCAACACACAGGATGAAAATAAACAATGTGCATGGTAAGTTATTGGTTACAGCAGCAGAAGTTTGTTTTGTGTGCTTAATAGTACATACACACATATTTTAAAAAATAACATCTAAAATGGAGGATGGAGGTCAGCAATATAATGCTCACTAGAAGGAGAGATATTTATTCACATTTATTACTCTTTCCACTATTTCTCTACATACTTTGTCAGGGTAATGATTGAACTGAAATAGAACACACTGAAAACAAATTAAGTTATTTTGCTACTCAGGAGTGATGGATATGAGTGGTGTTGTCCAGCACCCAGTGACGAAAGGGTTAAACTTCGGTTTTTCTCTTTGTTTTAATTTGCTCTTTTCTTAGTTGCTTTGTAACACCTAACAAACAAGTATGTTTTATCAAGTATATCTTTTTGTTTTTGTTAATAAAATCACTTTTTTTAAGGTGATGATTTGATTCTTGTGTCTTGGAAGGAAACAGGTGTGTGTCTGCCTAAGACTGAGAGATCATCTACCAGAGACTGCAGTTTGTTTTCTCTTTTTTCCAGCTCTCTTGTGCTAAAAGAGGTCGGGGATACCCCCCTGGAAGGAGTCCAACTGCTTCCTTCCTGGGTTCAAGAAGAAAGGGGTCATTTGGTGGTGGCAGCATGCCTCCTAAGGCCAGGGAATCTGTGGCTTTGGGGAGCTTTTAAGCAGAAGCCTATAGAGGCAAGGTATTTTTAAGGTCTCCTGTGGGCCCCCGCTTTCTGCACTCTGAGTGCGAGAGCGGGGAAGAGCTCTGACACCAGATATTTAAATTATGTTTACTACCACAATATCTGACCACTTATATCCATACTAGTCCTTTTCCAAAAAAAAGTACAGCTTTCTAATTTATCTCTTAAAAAAAAGATTTTTTCAACTATGATATACCTGTATAAATGACATTGTTGAAAGATTAAACCAAGCATTTGCTTAGTGTCAGAAAAATGAGTCCTTTATAACCTCAAAATATTAAACAAAAAAGTAAAAAGATGATGGAAAACGTTAAGGAAAAAATACTGCAGTTCTTACCGTGAGAGAATTCCAACAAAGTTGCGCACAGATGATGCATGGAATAAGGACTGAATGTTCCCAAGATTGCTCAGAAACTCTGCTGTTTCACTTATTCTGCCAACTCTATATATTTTTAGAACTTTCACTGGACAGTCACTGCAAAAAATTGAAAATTTTAAAGTCATGTGAGTTAGAAAGTTGTTCAAAATTCAATTAATAGATAAAAGGTGAAGAACTAATTTGTACGTCAACAAATGACTAGTCTTCATTTGTTTTTCTTTCATAATTACAAGAACAAGACTCAATACAAAGGAGCATTTATTAAAAACATGCTGCAAATGTTTAAACAGTTAAGACAAACAGGAATACAAATCGTAATTCTATAAGAGCTATCCAACTGGTGATTGCCTATAATCTCATAATAGTTTTCCCTCTTTTCTATAAAATGTATTTATGTTTCATAGAGTTCAAACTGTAGTAGGAATGTGAAAAATGCAGAAGATTTGTTTTCCAAAATATTAACAAAAACAGATTTTGAAGTTTCCACTTATTAGGCTTACTCGTTTATTGTCCTTTTGGAGTCAACCATCCAGGTGACCTATGGGGAAGAGCTTTCTAGCTTGTGGTCTTCACAGACTGTAGCTGCATTACACTACAACTTCCAGCAGCTACTGACATTTATCTTTTGGGACTGTATATAGCACCAATGGCTGCTGAAAGTTGTGGCACACTGAGTAAGGCTTAAAAGGTATCTTTCTGGATCAGGGCCTGCAAGCTCAGTCCCAAGCAGTCCTGCTAGAAGCTCAGCTGCATATAAAATACACATTCACTTACAAAACAATTTTGATGGGATCCTTTCTTAAAGATATTTAAATAACAAATTCAGAGTAGTAGGAATAGGAGCTGAATTCCCTCAGTAACCCAAGCAGAGAGGAATTTAGCAACATTTTTTTAAAAAATTTGCTTCTTTGGGTATCATTTCAGGTCCTGGGAAATCCAGGCTTGGTACAGATGAATGGCTCCTGTTTCACATAATGCTCCAATACACTGTATTAAGTATCAGAGGGGTAGCCGTGTTAGTCTGAATCTGCAAAAGCGACGAGGAGTCCTGTGGCACCTTATAGACTAACTGAAGTGTAGGAGCATAAGCTTTCGTGGGCAAAGACCCACTTCGTAAGATGCATGCATCTGACGAAGTGGGTCTTTGCCCACGAAAGCTTATGCTCCTACACTTCAGTTAGTCTATAAGGTGCCACAGGACTCCTCGTCGCTTTTGCAGATCCTCAAAGGCATTTAAGTGCCTAACATCCACTGAAAACCATAGGAGTTAGGCACCTACATTTCTTGGAGCATCTGGGCCTAAAAGCTTATTAATGGATTAGAATACAAGATGTTGGGTCTAAGAACACACATTTTTCTCTCAGCAAGGAGGAATGAGCCAATTCCAGAAGTCCAAACACAGATGCTCAGGAGCTGGGGCACTATTTTCCTCACGAATGATCTCTCCACACCCTACCTTATGGAATTGTTCCACATTGTGTCTTTTAATTGCCAAATTTTGAGCTTTCTGTGGTGGGGAGTCACATCTTACTCTCTTCTTAGTAAAGTGCTAGGTATATAATATTATACATGTGTTTATAAATGCTTAAGGATGACCATACATTTAAAAATAGATGCTCATTTTCATACCTAGATCAGGTTTAAGCTGTGAAAACCACTTATTTGATAGATGAAAAATCATCATTGTTCGAGCACAATTCTCTACTCTATGCTTACTGTATTCCAGAGCTACTGAACACACAGCCTATGGGCTGCACGAGACTCAGGGCCTGTTTGTTTGCAGCACACAGTGTGGTTTGGCTTTACGCAGAGTTCAACACATGGTCTGCAGGTGAGATCTTTTGAACATTGTCGCCACTGGGAACACACTCCACAATGGCGAGTCAATATAATAGTCTTCTGTTGAGATGTGTTTTGGTGGTTAAATTCTTGTACTGTCATTGCTCATTAAAAGTGCTGCCATATACTGGAAATCGGGTAAATATTGCATTTTATTAATATCCGCAGAACTGACTTAAATGGGGCCTGCATGTTGTGTAGTCTTGCTTTAATCTTTGTATTCATGCCCATCAGAGTGAAAGAAGCCATTTGCGTATATATTTGCGTGTATGTGCAACCACACTTAAGTTGCCCACCCTCAACATGTGCTGTGAGTATCATTGCGGCCCCTGGAGCTTTCAAAGTTGAGTAGCCCTGCTCTATGCCATATCTTTACCATGAATGCTAGTGCCATCTTATTTGTAGACTCTCCACTTCCAAGACACTGCAGACAACTATGTAAGTACTCATGCAATTTTACCAATATATATTTGTTTCCCAGGAGTTATAACTATGTTAAAATTGCTAGGGACATGTATTAAATCCTTACTTGGGAACAATTTTTGAAAGGCCAATTTCTGACCTGTTTACCTCTTGCATTATTAATTACTAGACAAGTGGTCTGTCAGTGATTCATTAATGTCCTGCTTCATCTAAAATATTTAAAACCAAGTAAAAATACAATGTCTGTAATTCCCAGAGTTAGTTAATCTTGAGTGACTCTGGCTACCACTTTTCCTTGGCTGTGTTCTATATAAACAGCCCATAATGGCACTGCCCCAGGAGTAGCTCAGATCTGGCCTTGGGTTCCCTGATTGTTCCAAGAGGGAAATAATCTAAATCAGCCTTTCACCTGACTCACATCACATGAAACTTCCGATAATCTGGCACCTTTAGGACCCAGGGGGTGCCGGACTATCAGATATGCCGGACTATCAGAAGGGGGGGGACTATGAGCGGTCTGGGGTGGGGTGAGGGGGAGTTGCCTTCAAAGGTGAAGAGAAATGGGCTCTGTGTGTGTGCGCGCACACATATCAGCCTCGCAATAAGGAACCTCTTGTTTGAGAAAACTGACCAGTTTATACTAAGGGTCATAGAATGATTTTGTTGTTGTCAGAGGCTATGGACTTTCTAAATGGTCAGGTTAGATGATGATTGTTTACTCGTTACTGTTTAGTGCAATAAATATACAGTAAACTTCTGATAATCCGGCACCTTTAGGACCCAGGGGGTGCCGGATTATCAGATATGCCGGACTATTGGAAGAGGGGGCTATGAGGGGTCTGGGGTGGGGTGGGGGGGATGCCACTCCAGACCCCTCATAGCCCCCCCTTCCGATAGTCCGGCTCTGCCCCAGGCGTCTCCCATTCAGCCGCTGCTGGTCAGTTTCAGCAGTGGCTGAATCAGGGAAGCGGGGCGCAGAGCAGCTCCAATTGTCTGGCTGCCCCAAGCACTTCCGGGTTCCTGATGGTGCCAGACCATCAGGAGTGCCGAGCATTGCATACCAGACTAATGGAGTTTTACTGTATATTGTGTTGTCAGAAGAACCACTGGTCAATCAGGAGGACAATGGCTCTAAAAGCAATGCACAAAGCTGGGTTTTGGAGCATAGGGAATGGGAAAAATCTTAGCAAGGAGAAGTGTTGCTCTGAGGATGGAGAGTCCAAGCAATGTAGCACCAGCTTGTGCCTGGAGATGTAGCATATACCCAAATTCTACTGATACCAGTTCATGGATTCCAAGATTAGATGAGGCACTGATCATATAGTACGACCTCCTGTATAACAAGAGATCATGATGGGGAATCTAACACACAAACTAATTATACAACATTAAATTATAAAATATTATATTGTTGCCACATCATCAGTCATGGGCAAGATTTATGGGATGTGAGATTTCTGGTACCACAAATTTTCTGAGGGTCAAAGATAAATATATCTATCTCAGGGTATGTCTATACTACCCCACTAGTTCGAACTAGCGGGGTAATGTAGGCATACCGCACTTGCAAATGAAGCCCGGGATTTGAATTTCCCGGTCTTCATTTGCATAAGCGGGGAGCTGCCATTTTTAAATCCCCGCTGGTTCGA